CTGCGAGCGGCTCGGGCTGACTAGCACTGCTCCGCTCTCCTGGCTCCACTCGGCTCGCTCACTCTGCCGTCGGCCGTGCGGCTATGCCCTCCTCAGCTCCGCCGCTGATTGACTGGCCGGCGTGCACAGCGACGCTCGGCAAACTTGGCCCAGCGTGCGGCACACGGGGAGGGGGCGGACGGCGAGGGGGGGCGGAGACGGGCGGGAGCTCGTAGGGCCGGGACGGGAGAAAACCTGGAAGCGGGGTTGGATCCGGAGCAGCTAAATCCACTTCCTAGGGGGCCGCACCAGCCGCGCGGCACTCCCTTGCGATATATGCCAAGCAGGGCTCCTCCCTGCCAGCCTTTCCCCATCCATAGAGGAAAGGCTAATTTCTCCGGAGTAAAGGGTCCAATTCCTGGGGGACCGAGCAGCTGCAGACTTATCCCTAAGTTCACCTCTGAGTCCTAGGCCTTCAGCGCACGGCCACCTGACCGCTGCCAGCGGACCAAAGCCAGGCGAAGCCCTTGGGCCTCTATACCTGTCCCCCACTCTGCTGCCGCCCTGCAGCCGGGAGGACGCTCCTAACCGTCTAGTCCCGGGGCCATGAGGGGAAGGCACTGGCATTACTTGCATTGTTTCCCTGCAGGCACCAGGGGGACTTGAGACTCTGGGCTGGCCCTAGAGCCTCGCCTGGCCTCCTCAGACTTGCTTCCTAACAAACGGTGCTCGTAGAGCACCGCCTTGTTGGGAACACTGACAGGCATTCTCCTACCCTCCTGGTGTCCTCCCCACCATGCTTGGTTTTGCTACCAGTCTAACCAAACCCTGAAGTGGGAGAAACTCCTCAACTGCTAGGCTGTGGGACAAAGTCAGGGTTCTCCTTAGAAACCTGGCCCAAACCCTCCTTCTGTACGTAGGGAAACTGAGGCCCAGAGAAGAGAAGTGACTTGCATGCAGCTAGGGGGTGGGTCCAGAATCCAGGACTCAACTCTCGCGTCACCTGGAATAAAGGTAGTCCAAGACCCCCAATTCTTCGCCCTCACATCTCTGGGACCCTTAGCTTCCAGAAAACTGGAAATGCGCCAGTCTTCCCACCTTTTAAGCTTTGTCAGATTCCATTAATGAGTGTTTTTGAAGCTCCCAGGGCTCCTTTAATGACGGGAACTGTGCAGATTGGGAACTTGTCATTACCGTTGTTATTGTTACAATCTGCTTTAAGAGGTTATAGTGAGAAGTGCCTCAGACACCTCGGGACTGTGCTGGGAACTGGGCAGATAAAAGGGGCTGGAACTTATTATTTGGCTAGACTCTCAATTCCCATAAAATTACATAGGGTGATGATATGAACCATCATTACAATTATCACCCTCACAGAATTTGTTGAGACTTCCTCCACTGTTGTTTGCAAACCACGTTGACATGGTTGGCTATGAGGAGCTGTAGAAACTAAGGTGGCTGTTGTTTTAAATGCCACTGCAGACTTCTACATTTTATTAACTCTTGGAGATCATCGGCATAAACAGATTGTGACCCTGTCTGTAAGTAGGGCAAGTTCTGTTGGTTGGCAGAACATTTAACTCTGCAACTAGGAGAATTATACAAACTCAACTACAAATGAATTTCCTGCCATTTTCAAGTGACTTTCAAATAGTACAGGTTTTCCTCAAACTGATAACCATCAGGTCCTCAAGGCATTGCTAGGGCTTAGCTTAGCACTTTTAACTTTAATTAATGCATTTACGTAAAGATGTTCTTTACTAAAGAGAATATAATCTAAGTTGCAGCGAACATTAATAATAAAAATGAAATCCAGTGACCAAAAGTGAGAAAAAGACACTTCCAAACCATGAAGCCCTAATCAGAAAGCTTCTTTTCACATCAAATCCAGGGGGAACTCATTCTTTGTTCCCCCCATTTACTCCTGCTCTTCCTGTTCAAGTATTATTAACCAAAACTTGAGCCTTTTCCACCAGAAACAGTAACCTCTGGCTAAAAACGAATCTGGACAAGTCTGAACTTTACCACACAAGGCAGGAACCCCAAGCTCTGCTCAAAGGCAGCTCCCACTTCAAAGCCTCCTTTCATTTAAATACAAACTGGGTGAACAACTGGCAATCTATGAAACAAACCCCATCCAGCTTCCTTTTCATATGGCCCATAGCTCCTCCTTTCAAAGAGGCTCTTTAGTGGAGATGCACCCACTCTGTAAATATTCTGAATGCAAAAAATGGATTGCGGCTGCATGTAGAATGCAAGAATCAACAACTTCTCAGGATTATTAACACTCATATAGCACTTTTTTCCCTTTTATTGTGGTAAAATGCAAAACTATAAATTTTAATAATTTTAAAGTGTACAATTCAGTGGCATTTAGTACATTCGCTGTGGTGTACGGCCATTAACAATCTCTAGTTCTAGAATATTTTCATCATCCCAAAAGGAAACCTTGTACCCATTCAGCAATCAAAGTCCATTGCCTTCTTCCCCCAGCCCCTAGAAACCACTAATCTACTTTATGCATTTATTGATTTGCCTATTCTTTACATTGCATATAATTGGAGTTATGCAATATCTGAACGTTTGTGTCTGGCTTCTTTCACCTAGGATCATGTTTTTAAGATCCATCCATGTGGTAGCATGTATGAGTACTTCCTTTCTATGGCTAAATAGTATTCCATTTTATGGATAGACTACTTTTGGTCATATAGTACTTTACAGTTTGCCAAGTGCTTCCAGTTATATTTGTATTCTTAGAAAATTTTAGTGTTTTTTTAAAAATAAATAAGCAAATTGAGTCTCAGCAAGGTTATGTGGCTTGTCCACAGCCCTAGGGCTCTTGAGTGGCTGAATCAAGACTGAAAATTTAAGGCTTTTGACTAAATCCCATGCAATTTTTTGTTACAAACACTCTGGGTCTCATTTAGGGCAAGGAGTGAATGTGCAACTGCCCAGATCCTGTAGACATGTCCCTGTTTTGTATTAATAAGTGTTCATTGAGCAACTACTATGTGCCAGATGCTGCGCATCCCTAGGAATGAAGATGTACAAGCCAAAAGGAGTTTATAGTTTAATGTACTGGGTAAGACCTATATGCATTGGCTTGCTTAGGTAGAATGCATTTATGGTATACTTGGTTTTCCCAAGCAAAGTGTTTCTCCTAATGTGGCATGGGGGCATATTCACTAGTGGGCAGACAGAACAAAGTATGCACTCACTACTGCTGTCCTCCAAGCCAAGAACTAATTGAATCAGGTCCGCTCTCTCAGCTTTGGGAACACTTCTCTTGGCCTTCTGGGGAGCTACCTTGGTTGCAAAATATGGGGATGTGGAGCAGAATATGACTTCCTCCTTTAGAATAGGTGGTTCTCTTGCAGCTCTCTAGTCTCTCCCTCTACCCAGCCATTTCTCCCACAGCCATCAGAATAAGACTTTGACAACATCACCTGAACAATGTTCCACCCCTACTAACCCTGCCCCCTCCCCCATTGTACTCCAGATCAATTCCCAAGTTGTTCAACAGATCTGGATCTTTGCTATCGGACCATAGTCTACATTACCAGCTCTCTTACTGGCCCTTTCCAACCTTGCTCCATCCTACAGGAACACGTCATCATTCTCCTTCATGCCATGCACTTACTTGCAACCTTACCCTGCCCCTGCTAGGAATACAGCTCCTTTATACTCACCTATCAAGACTTAGCTGAGATATCACTTCTTCTGGAAAACCTTCCCAGATTCTCCCCAAGCAGTGCTAATGGCTGCTGCTTCTAGGCCTCCAGAGCCCTGTCTACACAAAATGCCTGCCAAACTTGCCCCTTACCAGAGGTCATATTTTCTCTGAGGGTTCCTCAACCCCCCAGCCTTTGAGAACTCTTCTAGACTTTATTTTTATTTGAATATCTATTGCCTCCCAGAGTACAGATTCACCTGGTGGGCAGTTTCCCAAGGGAATAAAAGAAATACCTGAAA